ATTATGGGTCGTTTTATTCATATACAACTTCTTGGTATAAGAACAATAACTAATCGAACACAAACACGATTCTCATTACCATTTAAAGCTCATTTTTGTGAAATATATGCTTATAATTAATACGATTTTAATGTCCGGTGAAGAACAGGAATTCAATGTATTGATAAAAAAAAATATAAATGAATCTCAACCAAGATATATCAGGGAAAATGATTGATATACGAAATCAAACTTTTTTTTTACATAATAAAAAGAAAAAAATTCGTTAACAATATGAATGAATTTTTATACGTTAAAACAAAGGACTTTTAATACATTTGTTTACATAAAAAAAGGTTTCAAGTAAAAAGTCTTGTCTAATTTAGAATAAAGAATTTTGTTAATGTTCATGTTTTCGTAGCGAATAATTCTATATTACAAATGTTTGATTATGAAAAACACAGGTTTGTTGATCCTAAATAAGAAGAAAGAAAGTTAAAATTCATATTTAGAGAAAAACTGCAATTTTTGATGGCCTACACTTGCTTCACTCTTGATCAAATAGATAAAGTAGTAAATGTAAAACTAAATGATATCGCTCGTTTCTTTTATTTTCGATGATAAGATTGGATTTTAATTCTTAATACCAATTATTACAATGAACAATACACCTGCCTTTCGCCTCCTATCCGGTATGAAATATACACACCATCCAAAAACTAGAACTTGTATAAAATTTTACTTTGTCACAGTAAAACATCCATGTAAAGATCAATAAGCATTTAAGGAAATGAAGAAATTTATGACAATTTCAACAATAGAATAGAATTCTAATGCTTAACAATATCGACAGAGGTATAGATTTTTCTCTTACTTTCGATTTCTAGAATTCTCTTGAATTTCTGGAATAGTTATTAAATTACTTGATTTCTTCTTGTCCATATAGATGTAGAAATGTTTGTTTTCTTGAATTCTGGAAATTCTATCCAATTACTAATTTCTGGATTGTGGGTAATACTACTTAGCTAATTATACTCATAAGTGAACGTCAATATATCAAATGGTTGACTACTTAATAATTTTGCTTATATCTAATTTAACGAGTTACTATTGTCCATTTTCGAGTTAAATGGACGTGAGCATTTTTCGAATAACCTGAAAACAGAAAGAGAGAAGTAACTTGAATTTTTGCGTATTATTTAGAGTCGGCATTACTCTATCTTTTTACAAAGACGATGAAAAATTCCTGTCACTTTTCTTCATGGATATATCGTGAGTTTTGAAGAGGACCTTAATTCGCTTTGGAAACGAAGCATTTTCTCAACTATAATTTAATGGACAGATAGCTTGACTTTTCCTCTATCCATCTGCGGGAGATCGAGATCGATCACCGTTTGCGTTAAAAAGATATAAAGATTTTTCTGAAAGCTATCCCTTCAATTTTAAAAAATCTTAGTATCTAATAACATATTGCCTAGTAATAGTTTTTAGTGGCCTTCATATTCGTCAAATGATTTATTAATTTTCGGAATGTTTTTTCTTTTGAAAAATGTTATCAAAAGTCATATGTTGAACTTACTTTGTTGATAATGAATTAATATATTCTCTTCATCTTTTATTGTATTGCTGTTCTCATTGGAATAATTCCCTAAATCTAGATCGATCAATCGAAAATAATTTTAAGACATTTACGCAAATTTACCCTAAAAGTCAATACTCTTCAACATCAACTGTACTATAGTTACTATAATCATCATCCTCATGATCATTTAGAACTTCTTCCATCTGTTCAACATAAATATCAGTATTTTTAAATACGTAAGTGAACTTGGGTCTGTATTCGAGTATTTTCTTGTTCCAAGTAGAACTCGATGAGATCGATCCAAAGGTATAGTCAGATTTTCCATAGAGCAGACCATCGTCCCAGAAATTCAAAAATATTGATATTTTGCTACTGGGACCCTAGGTCTAGATTCGAGTAATTCCAGATGGGATTCACTCAGAGACATATTCCAAGTGTTCCATTTATGTTTCAAGCACAGCTAAACGAGTTCTATCCAATGGTATGCTCGGATATTTCCTGTCAGGCAGAATATATAAATTTGAAATTTTCTCTAGTACCATCTATCGACTGAAAAATCATCTTTTGGTTTATATAAAATCTGAGCATACCATTGGATAGAGCTCGTTGAATTGTGCTTGGAACATGTCTCTGGAAGAATCCCATCTGGAACAACTCAAATCTAGACCTAAGGTTCCAATAGGAAAATACCAATATTTTTGGATTTCTGGGACGATAGTCTGATCTATGGGAAATATGACTGCACCTTTGGATCGAGCTCATCGAGTTCTACTTGGAACAAGAAAATACTCGAATACAGACCCAATTTCACTTACGTTTCTTTAATATTATCTCATATTGTTTGACGTAACTGATGTAAATGGTTGCTTCCGTCGCACTTAATCCATAAATCATTCTGGCGCCACTTTGCTCACTTCAGTTACAGTAAACTTGATATTTCTATCACATATATATGCTTTCATATTGGACCAAGCTAATTCTATGCGATGTAAGGTATAGTGTCTCTCTCAAGAGATGTGGATGAAACGATGATTGGGAAACAACCTCACCTATGCGTGCACTCATACTCACATCGCTTCTCAACCCCACATTCACTCACCTAAATCCAACGATTTCTCTTCAAGCACGCTTTCTTGAGAAAAAACATTCCGAAGATTAATAAATCATTTGACGAAGACGAAGGCCACTAAAAACTGTTACTAAGCAATATGTGTTAGATACTAAGATTTTTTTAAAACTGAACGGTTAGCTTTCAGAAAAATCTTTATATCTTTTTAACGCAAACGGTGATCGATCTCGATCTCCCGCAGATGGATAGAGGAAAAGTCAGGCTATCTGTCCATTAAATTATAGTTGAGAAAATGCTTCGTTTCCAAAGCGAATTAAGGTCATCTTCAAAACTCACGATATATCCATGAAGAAAAGTGACNTAGCTTTCAGAAAAATCTTTATATCTTTTTAACGCAAACGGTGATCGATCTCGATCTCCCGCAGATGGATAGAGGAAAAGTCAAGCTATCTGTCCATTAAATTATAGTTGAGAAAATGCTTCGTTTCCAAAGCGAATTAAGGTCATCTTCAAAACTCACGATATATCCATGAAGAAAAGTGACAGGAATTTTTCATCGTCTTTGTAAAAAGATAAAGCAATGTCTATTCTTAATAATACGCAAAAAATCAAGTTACTTCTCTCTTTCTGTTTTTAGGTTATTCGAAAAATATCCATGATCATTTAACTCTGAAATTAGCAATAGTCAATTTACCTGAAAGATCTTTCATTGCTTGGAAAATCTGATGACGATTATTTTGTCTAATTTTCAGATATTTTTTCCTTTTCATTCAATTAATGAATAGTTTTCATATTCATTTTATATTTCTGAGACGTTATCGTAGTTACACCAAATTTTTAAACAATATAATAACTATCAAATGAAGTAGTCTACATACAAGAACTTATTTGTAGTCTATTCATGATGATATCTTCCAATAGAAGAAGGTCAATGAATTTAGTTCATTTCTTTTCAGTTTATTCAGGATAGTGTTAAGCTTATATTCTTCTTGTAAATTGTATGAAAAATGATTTGGTTTATTTCTATTGTCCTATCATTATAATACTAAAACTTCGTCTCAAATGTGCGTTATCTTTAAAATCATACAATATTTCCATGATGAAGCCATCATTTGAGTACAAATATTTTTTTACAATGCTTATACATAGTTACTACTATGCCAGACATTTCAGCCTTTTAGATGTTATGGATCATTGTATTATTCATTTCTTTCACATTAGTTAAAAACCAGTTTCGATATGACTTAAAACTCTTTCAGTGTGAAATAGATTTCACTAAGTGTTAGTTCGTTCACTAATTAGTATAGAACTTGAGATGTGTTTAGATTTTCATGAGACAAGCTTGTTCAACTGTACATTGAACTTTGCCAATGATAGAAAGATTGTACTTGCATGTAAAATCATATGGTGAAATGTTCGGTTAGAGTTGAAATTCATATCGAAAATGATGTGTGACTAATGTGAAAGAAATACGGCGATGTACGACACCTACAAGACTGCAGTTTTGTACATAATCCTAAACATGTCTCAGCATTATAAGAGAATATTTGTACTTAAATTATAGCTTTTAGCAGAGTTGGACAAAAAGCTTTTCTAGTACCTCATATATATCTATATAATTATATTTTTGATAAGATTTCGTACTTTCACTTAGAAATCTGTCAAAGACTATCGAATTTATTTCTAATCGTTAATAGAAACCAATCTCGATGACTTTATTTTACAAAAACTTTTCTTTGATATGACAAATCATAATGATCTTATAAAGTAAGTTTGTCATATATAAAAATACACATGAAATTTATATTAATAATTTATGTGATCGACTTCATTATCATATTACATTCAAGTGTATTTTCTTATACTTTGAAATCATTAAGACGTTTAATGACAGTCTACAAGAATGAACAAAATACGTTTATTATTTTTTCCTCTATCATTGTTTCAAAAAAATGAGAACCTTTTTTAAAATAGATCAACATTTTATGAGTGACATCAGTGATGAGTTAACATTATAACACATTGGCATACAGCTTTACTTTTTGATTCATTACAACATCGAGACCATCTTTCAATGTATATATAGAAAAGGCCATATACACACGTTAATGAAATCTCTCTCTCTATATACACAGATGCACACGTAATGCAGAATATGCCGTTGAAGGAGAAAAAAGAAGACGAAGAGACAAGAAATGTATTTTTTTATGGCGCGGAATAATGTAATAGGAAAGAACAAGAAAATGGAGAAGGTCGTACAGCAACGTAAAAAAATGACGGGAGGCAGAATCATCAAGGTTGTGAAGAAAGAAAAAAAAATCTTGCTTCGTTTCTTTTTTTTTTTGGCTTTTTAAGTACTTGTGATTCACCATGAGATGGCAATATTGTTCGCAAATTTTAAATACATTTTTAGCTATAATTATTCTTTGTTCCCTTATTCAAGGTCTGTTCGTTTGATTCCTAAAAAAGTCTATTAAATTCACTCAAGCTTTTCTTCTTATTTTTCTGTCTTAGTTGATGGTAAAATTCGTCGTCGACGTCAATATACTTATAATAACTATGGTAGCTACGCACTTAATCCTGCAGTAGCATCCTATTATGACACTAATACTGCTGATATCTATACAAATAATGCTCAGCAAAACAATCGTTTCATTGTTGGTGGAGTAGCTTATCAATATCCAACACCTGTCAATGTCATGAGTGGTGGATCATACAATCCACAACAATATAATGCTTATCCGAGCGGAGCTGGTAGTTATTATTATGGTAAAAGAATAAATTTTTTTTTAAGAAAAGAAAATTGTCTTTCTTTTTTTCTTTTATCAGCTAATTTGAACAACATGCGATTACCATCACCAGATGGATGGTACTCGGCATATTATTTTCAAGGATATCCATTTCTACCAATCTATAATAGTGCTCAGCGTCATGCAAATATGTCAATTATTATTAAACTATTTTTTATGATTTTCACTTGCCTGATTTGTATCAATGTTTTGTAAATAAATAGTTTATATAAAACATGTATGCTTAAGCATAAAATGTACTAATTACATAAAAATAAACTCAAAAATATTCTTGTGTAGTATGTAATCAATCTCATTTGATGTCACGCTATTTTAACAAAAATTCATAAATATAGTAAAGTTCAATATAATTTAGGATATTTGTTAGTTTCTCGTAATCGATGTGTTGAAGAAATCATTTTTATTCTCGTTTGTTTATAGTGCTCTATATGTTGTAGTAACAGCCATCAAATGATTTCTTATGTTGCCTTTTCTTTTCTTTAATGTCAATAATGAAATAAAAAAGACAGATTTCGATTTGAAACTCTTGAATAAAGTACAGAATTCTGTTTAAATATAATTTTTATTGAAGTCTTCAATAACCATGGAAGAAAATCAAACAGAAGAGAATTTCAGTGTGCAGAAACAACAAAATAATCACATTGATCCTTCTATTGTCACTAATAATTCAACTGAAACATCACAAGCTAACGAGAAACGAAAAGAAACAACATCACAACCTCACAATGAACCACAAACAAACACAATTGGTCAAAGCAACAAAAGAAGAAACACAGAGCATTCCACACAAACGTGTTGCTGTTGTTGTGTTGGGTGTTATTACTGTGATTTTTGTTGCCCCTGCGATTCATGTAGCTGGTGCGATTGTTTAATTCTTTCATGCGATTCATGTTCATGTCTAATTTGTAATGATTGTTCATGTCCTGATTGTAGTTGCTGTTCGGATTTAAACTGTTGCTGCGATATTTTTGACATATGTGGAAACTTTTGTGAGCTTTTATCGTGTCTATGTGGAATATGTACCAACTAACTAACGAATCGAGACTTTTTTTTCTAAAAAACAAGGTTTGGAAAAAGTAAGACTTTTATATGATTATGTCACCAATGAATTTTATATAGTTTCTTCTGTCTAATAAAAATTTGACGAGGAAAAAAGCTGATGATTTTAATATAAAAGATAAATGTCAAAGTCGAGCTGCTTTAGAAATCAAACTGATAGTTTGAAAAATTTTCAATCCATGAAGCAGTGACATATATAAGATAGACGAGATGCATATTAAATTTCAACATATGATCTACGTGAGAAAAGAACAATGTTAGTTTTCATTAAACTGATTTCCGAAGTTAAATTAAAACTAGAAGATTGTTATTTTAATGACCTACAGTCAGAATCGATTAAACAGATTCTTTTTGTGTACTCAAAAAGTGAGTACACTCTAGAATCGGTCAGTGTGTCCGTCCGTCCGGCCGTTAACACGATAACTTTTGAAAGGAGAGTCCAATCGCGATGAAATTTTCTACACAG